ATACTTCCCTAGGTATGTATTATTGAAAGTTATGTACACAAGTGTTTTAAAAAAAGTGGATACATTTAAACAATAAAACAGTTCGTATTAAGTTAACGAGATATTTAAAATGGCTTTCAATTTTTTTATATCCAGTAACTTTATTTTCGAAATAGTAGAAATTCCATATTCATGGTACAAATCTATCTCAACAGAAAATTAAAACAACAATTTAAATAAATAATCCTTTGGGTTCTGATATATTAAGGGTGATGACAAAAATACAACGTGAAATAATGTACAAACTTAGATAATCACTGTATTTACCTTGTACTGATATCACAGTTTATTTATCTGATGAGAAATCTGTATAGATAAATTTTCTGGCATTTTTTTAAATTCATTAACTTTTGGTATAGAATGGGTAACTGAAAATCTAATACACGCTTATTCTCAGGTTGCTGCACTTCTCGCTGTCATCGCTGCCGCCCAGGCCCAGGTTCTCAGGCCGGCTGTTGCTCGTGCACCACTGGCCTACGCTAATGCACCATACGCTTACGGTACTGCTCCATATGCCTATGGTGCCTCACCGTACGGCTATGCTGCCACTGCACCATTGGCTGTAGCCCGTTCACCATTGGCTATCGCTCGCGCACCATTGGCTGTCGCACGCACACCCTACGCCGCTGCTGCCGATCAGTACTACGACCCTAACCCAAGCTACGACTTCAGCTACTCCGTAAACGACGCTGTTACCGGAGACTCTAAGACCCAGACCGAGTCCAGGCAAGGAGATGTAGTTCAGGGCAGCTACTCACTCCTAGAAGCTGACGGAACTAGGAGAGTTGTCGACTACACCGCTGATCCAGTGAATGGGTTCAACGCCGCCGTCCGCAAAGAGGGTGCTGTTGCCCCAGCTGCTGTTCCAGTTCCAGTTGCTGCCCGAACTGCCGTTCCAGTCCCAGTCGCTGCTCCTGCTCCAGTCGCTATTGCTGCTCGTGCTTACTCTCCTTTTGCCGCCAGATCGTACGCCGCCCCAGCAGTTGTTGGCAGCACCTTCACATCTCCTTACACCTCATATGCCTACTAAATTATTGATAGCTTTCTCATAAATAAATTTGTCAAAAATACTCTTCGAGTTTTTTCTTATTTCATGTGTACTCCTTCTAGATGTAACTTAATCAAATGGAATACAAATTTAATTGATGTTGCTTTATATTCCATAAAATAATGTCGAAATGTGATATTTATATGTAGTTCATTGTATATCAAGTATGAAAATCCTCCTGTTAATGAGGTATTTACAAATAAATATCTTTAATAGTAAAAAGTGGGAGTTGGTACAATAGGAAAAGTCATAGTATAGGAAAATTAATATATTTCTAATCTATTTGAAAAGTCTTGTATTTCAAATGAATATCCTTTGCTGAGACAAATTGCTGTTAATGCTAGAATAAGTGCACATGCCCCCTGTACTCAGCCAGGTCATGCATACCACGTTGGGGCAAAACAACCGTTCGTCAAAACAAAATTCTCCCGACTGCGCCAAAATTCTGCAAAAAATCAAAGGTTAAATTTAACATTAAAAACGTCTGCCAAGTAAGGTCAGTATAGCTTCCTCACCGTTTCCGTTGTATATTACAAGGTATACAATTTTTCGTATGAGTATAAAATCTCTGAGAGAAGCAGAATCGGAATAGCCGATTACAGTTACCCTTCAACATTCAACAACAGAGAGTCGTATTTGAATATTCCATACTTGATTATGCTTAATAAAAAAATAAATAAATAAAAAAAAATGTATACTAAACATGAATTTTAATATTGTTAGTTCAAAAGGTCTTATGTATAAATTTATTTATTGTTTTACAAGAGTGCATAAAAACTCAATATTTCTTTATGCTTTATTAGAATAATTTCATATTTTATTTTCATCTGCTATTTTCCATAGTAGCAGACTACTTATATCAGTTGCAGACTACAAAATATCACCTTTAATACACAAAGAATTAAAGTTGAAAATTATTACATACGAACTTATGCTCTAATAATAGTATATACATTACCGAATCAAGATTTAATTTTGGAGGAGGGGCTTCATCACGAAAGATTTATATATATATATATATATATATATATATATATATATATATATATATATATATATATATATATATATATATATATATATATATAAAACGATAATTAATTTGAAAAAAAACCACTGCAAATTATTTCTCTTTGGTATATTATTTCCAAACAATTATACATATAAAGTAACATTAAATTCCTAGTTATAAAGAAAAATAAATAAAGGGTGATTCTAATTATTGGACTAAAATTTTTTTAATCATTAGTAATATGCTAAAAAAAATAGCATTACTTCAGTAACACATTCAGAAATCAAAAAAAAGATAAACCTTTTGCAATAGCACATCTAAAAAAAACTAGAGACTTTGCTCCTAATTGTCCGATTTTAACGATTTTTTTAGGAAATTCCGTGAACTGTTAAAAAACCATATACAATATTGACATAAATGTGTATACTTCTTGAGTTATTCGGAATTTAATTTTACCATCCCTTGTAACTTTTTTTGAGCTTCTTTTCGTTGAAGTATGTAGTATAGATAAATTTAGAGGGAGGAGAGAAAATGACTTTAGCGAAGTTTCCTCAAAATCGGTACATTCGTTTAAGCGATACAGTATATAGCAACGCAGGTTTTTCGGCCGCCATTTTGAAACTAGAAGGCGAATAGAAATGTCGTTGAAGGAGGATGATCCTCGGGTGACCTCTGATTTTATATCCAAATTCGAAAAAAATCGGTCTAGTAGTTTCAGAAAAAATGTGCGGACGGCGGACGGCGGACTAGTAGTGTACATATAAGAGAAAGTGTTGGACACAATTCAATGAAATTGACACTACATAATTTTTTCACCAAAGTCTACCTTTTATTTAACTTTGAGCCAAATCGAACGAGCCCTTTCTGAAATATTGGCATATCTAAAAATATACGTTTGCGCGTGCGTAAGCGGAAGTGCTGGATGGAATTTGATAAAATTGATATGGGACCATCTAAGCACCAATCAGCATAATCCCTAAAAATTTAATGAAGATTGGATGAACGGTACTAGGTGATATGCCCGTCACATCGATTTGACTACAGACAGGCAGACAGATAGACACCGAACCAACTTTGATTCTTGATGTCTGAAACGTAAAACGCGAGTGAAAATTTTCGATTCTGAGCAAAAAAAAATTTTTAATTTCTCGCATGAACACAATGCTTCTCTACCTTCGGTAGTGAGGAAGCAAAATTAAATATTAAACTATAGTAACAGTTCTAAGAGTGATTTCATTTGCCCACAAAATTAGGTCAAATTCACAGTCCAACGTTTTCAATATCGCGGCTCTATGATGATAGGATAGGGTACTGTAAATCAAATCAAACGATTTTATGTCCAAACATTCATTAAAAATCACATTCCGCCTATCTTGGGCCAACCTACAAGCAAAGCATTAAATTTACGTGTAAATCAAGCGAGGTTTCGTAGAAAGTATATTTCGGGGTTTCGAGTCATTTGAAACCCCTCGTCCTGTAAACCCACACCAAGTGGGAAATGTTCAAAAAAGAAAAGTAGGTAGTTAGATATTTGCTCTTGACATTTTTGAATTATTTATTCATTATACAAATTTCAATATTGATAAAATCATCTTGATTTGTAGGTCAATATAAATTAAACAGTCACAATTTAAAATAGCATATTCTGAAAATGGAATACTGTGCGATCATAAACTGGTAGTCGAACGGAGAATGAGAGTAGAAAAAGTAATAGAGTTGAAAAGGCGTAAAGTTGAGATGATCTTTTATTTTATTCACAGCTAAACTATATGTTTAGTGTTGTATGTAAACCAAACATTGTGATATAGATTTAAAAATAGAATGCTTGAATTAACTCATAGTCCATGGTACAGACCCCTTCCCTTTTCATCGAATTATTAATATCCGCCTGAACCTTCGTAAGTAGTTTCATCTCACAGTAACCTACAACTATTATATTTACGAAAACTCTTGGAACAGGAGCGTTTTCAATCTGGCGGGGGACAAAGCTTTTTTTTTATTAAGTTAATAGTGACAAATGTAAAATATTACCATTGACCAAACATTCATCAGAATCAGAATACTAGATTTAAATGTTTCAAGCTAAATACATTATATTTACAATTGCGACTGTAAAATTATATACTATGAATATATTTAATGCTTACATATATATATATATATATATATATATATATATATATATATATATATATATATATATATATAAGATAGATATAGAAGATAGATATAGAAGAGATAGAGTACCCAACACCACTATCAGGTCGAACCTCAATATTAAGCCGGCCAATGATGTGATTGAGGAGAATCGACTGAGATGGCTAGGACATCTTCTGCGGATGGAACCAAACAGAATATCTAGCGAAACCTATCGACCTAAAGTAGACGGCAAAAGAGGAAGAGGACGGCCTGGAAGGAAATGGGAAGATGAAGTAAAGAGCGATTTCCAGAGAAGAGGTCTTCAATGGAACGATAGAAGGCGTGGAGGACCGGCAGAGCTGGAGAAGACTCTATAAACTTCCTCCTCACACTGCTTAATGCGGTTCAAGAGGATAGATTATGATGATAATGATATATATATATATATATATATATATATATATATATATATATATATATATATATATATATATATATATATATATATATATATATATATATAAAATCGCAACTGATCGAAGTAATGTAGTATTGATCACAAAAAAGTCGAGATCGCTCTGAAAAAATATTTATATTTTATACAAAGATGTATTCAATATTTTTAAGACCTTTAAAAAGTTTTATACAAACCGGATTGAATGGATTTTAATGGGAACCTGATAGTGAAGAATGAAGAATAAATAATGCAATATTTTTCTTTTTAAAAATTATTTATTTGTAACAGTATGAAAAGAAGATCACTTAGTAAGCATATGAGGAGTAGGGAGATGTGAAGGTGCTGCCAACAACTGCTGGGGCGGCGTATGATCTGGCGGCAAAAGGAGAGTAAGCACGAGCGGCGATGGCGACTGGAGCTGGAGCAGCGACTGGAACTGGGACAGCAGCTGGGGCAAGTGCTGGAGCAACAGTACCCTCCTTGCGGACGGCGGCGTTGAACCCATTCACTGGATCAGCGGTGTAGTCGACAACTCTCCTAGTTCCGTCAGCTTCTAGGAGTGAGTAGCTGCCCTGAACTACATCTCCTTGCCTGGACTCTGACTGGGTCTTAGAGTCTCCGGTGACAGCGTCGTTTACGGAGTAGCTGAAGTCGTAGCTTGGGTTAGGGTCGTAGTAGGGATCGGCAGCAGCGGCGTAAGGTGTGCGTGTGGCAGCCAATGGTGCGCGAGCAACAGTCAATGGTGCACGAGCTACAGCCAATGGTGAGGGGGCAGCATAGCCGTATGGTGATGCACCATAAGCATATGGCGCAGCACCGTAAGCATATGGAGCATTCGCAGCGTAGGCCACAGGAGCCACAGCAGGCCTCAAAATCTGAGCCTGGGCAGCAGCGATGACAGCGAGCAGGGCAGCAACCTGAGAATAGGCGTAGTATTACATCTTCAGTTAGCGATTGTTTTGACAATAATAACTAATTTATCCTGACATTAAAATAATTAACGAATTACAGGAAAATATATAAGTATGGATTTTTATGATATTAGTATAATAAGTTTCCGAGGACTGTACTATAATGAAACACACCCACACAAAAGAAATACCTCCTCATCTTTTTTTATTATATTAAACGACAAAGAAACATACTACTCCAATATATTATATATTTCTTATAATTCTGAATACCAGTCCATTTTATCACAAATCTAATTAAAATATCTGATTTATTTCCCTTTAAATTTTATCAAGTGCATCAACAGAAGAAACTATAATTCCAAAAACTGTGCACATTAAAAAGTATATATGTTAATAAATAAAGATGATTTTCTATTTCTATATATTCGATTCATTTATTCAATCAATTATAATGATTTTTATATTGTAAACTATATTTTTTTGTAAACTAGATATGATTTACAACAACAATTGATGAATATAAATTTTATATATATATGTAGAAGACTTATATAATTATAATTCTTCATATGCTAGTTTTGCATGTAATTTGAATTTTATAAATAAAGCAGTGGATTTCTAATTAGGAAAAATTATAAGATATGTTTACACCCTATCAGAATGTATTTTGGGATTTACTGTTTTATTTAATGTTATTTTTATTTAAATATGGTATTTTATTATTATTTAAATTTATCTTTTATTTATTTTTTAATTTAATTTATCTATTATTATATTTATCTTAAATTTATTTTTATAGTTATAACCATATTATATTATTTATAATTATATCAAGTATACTGTTTGTATAGAGTTAGGTAGGTGTACTCACCTTAAAAGCCATGGTAGGACTAAGTTGTAGAAGAGCTAAGATCCTCTCTTTATATACTGACCCGAGCCAGCGCTCCATGACCTTGCTGACCAATCATCATTTCATCCCTTGAGTCTTATCTCATAGAATTTTTCTCAAATCTCATACAAATTAATTTTTTTTAAAGATTTTTAAAATGAATTCAAATTTCAATCAATGAAAACACACCATAAAAATACGTTTTATATGGATCCTTAAGTTAATATGAAAATAAAAAATATAGATAAAAAACTTGTGGATCAGTACAGAAATATTAAACAATTTAGATTGATTGGAAACATGACAAAAATCGGTCCAAGAATGTCAAAGTCAATGGATGAACATACTTATTAGAGGTTGGTAATCAGGAAGTTAATTGTTAAAGATAAATGGAAAAGCTAAAATAAAATAACTACCATATAAATTAAGTGAATAGATTAATATGTGACTTGATAATGCTGAGAGAAAAATGAAATGAATTTATCTATAATTTTATTTTCATAATGAATATCTACAACAGATGCACTTTTGCAGATAGTTTTTTTAAAACCTGGTTTATCTTTCAATATAACTAATTTGAAAAAAATATATCCAAGAAGTTGTAAATACCTTGATTTAATTTTACACGTTTTGGCCGATTAGGCAATAGGATTGTTTGAAGTAGAGAGAGGTCATACTCGATTCCATTATAAAACATTGTTTCTAGTGAACCATGTTACAATTGTATCGGTGAGTGCAGAACCACTTCAGGCACAAATTTCAAATTTATCATGAAAGAGAAAAAACCCCATAACTCCTCAAAATTTTAAAATATTTGATCTTTGTTTTCCTCTGTCATTTATGTTGCTGTCATGCAAAAATTATGCTGTCATGTATTTCGACATAATTTAGGCTCAGGAAAATTAAAAATTTAATTCGGAGTTATACTGTTTCTACACTCAACTGTTCTTCACAGACAGTTGAAAACTTGGGAAAAGGTAACTATTCATTAAAAGTTTATATTTTTTAATTAACAATTTATTTTACAACAATTTATATTAATTTTAATTTCTTTTTACAATTTAATTTGATTATAAGTGTAAATACAGAGGCTCGGGATTTTATATTACTTACAAACATTACGAGCGATAATTAACATAACATTCATTTTGATAAACGTCAATACTGTTGTATTCACTTTTACTGGTGTAAATACAGTCGTATTCACTTTTACAATCATGAATTTATTTAAATCACTATTTAAATTTCTGCCGTGAATACGTATCATCTGTATTCATATTTCCTTTTATGAATATAACTATAAGTATCATAAATATAAATGGTAATCGTAGTTTTTTTAATATACATATTCCCATCTCTACTGGTCATTCGATCCAGCAGCAATGGGTGTAGAAACCACGTCAGTCACTGACTCATGTTATTTCTGCGCTCAAAGATCGAAAAAGACGTCATGTATTTACGGAACTCAACAGATTAACGCGGTTCTTATACTCAACACACATCTTACTTTTCTAAAAATCTTGCTTCGCATCTTGCTTCTTTTCATCCAAAACGATTTTTCGCTTTTTTTTTTTATTGAAGTTGTTTCTGCACTCACCAATTCAATTAAATCAAAGCTGTGGTCATAGGATGGTCTTATTGTGGTTAATGTCCTTTTCTTTCCCTCCTCTATCTAGCAGATCTCTGCTACAGTTCCTTCTTTTCTACCACACCATAATTGGGTTGGATCCTTAATTTGCTTCCAATGCTTACAAAGTTCTTACCGTACTTACAAATCAGAATGCAAGTTCACCGTCTTTCTCAGAGCCTTACCAACGATGCAAATGAGAATGGCTAAGATGTCCACGGTAGGCAGTTTCTAGTCGTCGTAACAAGGACAAATGGATTGACTTTTTTAGCATGTTTCTAAGGGTTTAAACTAAAACCCTCATGCAATGTCAGAATTTGAGAAACCCATTAGTCCGGGAGAAGCCATAGTTTTTCTAGTAGCAATCTGTGTAGCTCCCTCAAAGTTTCACTAACTACCAGTTATATTCTATATCAACTGTATCCTGCCATATAATTCTCTTCCATCTTTTGTGATCTTCAGTTCGTGATTTCGAAGGAGGTTGATAGAAAGGTCTCCTTCTATGACATAAAAACAGCTATTAAGCTGTTATCAAGTGTGCACAATACTTAAAGCAGAACCATCATATGGGTTTTTTTTTTTTTTTATGGATATACCGTTTTTTTACCAGAAGATAGGACGAGGGATTAATTCTAATTTTAAAAGGCCCTCGGCATCAGGATTTGAACTCGTAAATCTTTAGTTTATTGGGTTGCCGAAAAATGTTTGTTCTGCACATTACTCGGCCACCCTGACCCCTTAATTAAAAATACCAAATTAGTTTTTACTTTCTCCAATTTTTGTTAAATATTCTATTAACGTTGAATTGTTAAATTGCATAATAAGATTTTATGTTCCCAACTAAACTTTATCTTCAAACTCCTCTTCTGTTTTATTAGAACTTATGAAAGATAAACCATTGATTATTGCCTGTCCTAAGTGAATAGTGAAGTCTGGGATGAGCACCTAACTTAGCCCTTTCTAATGATTTTATTAAATATTCGCCGTTATCTAGCTCTATTTCCGCCATTTTCAAGAATATTAGGATAAGTGTTGTGAGGTCCGATTTTTATTAAATGATATTTAAGCAAGCCGTAATTCTGAGTGCATATATATTTGTTATGTGAATATAGATTCTAAAAGGCAGAGAATTGTGTGATTAAGTGTGTGATTAAAAAAAAAATTGGGTTAAAATTTATTATTTTTATTTAGTCAACTTTACTGTTAAGAGAAGTTGAAAAAAAAAACGTAAATTATTATTAATTATGCAATTCCTTTTATGTATGATGTTTGTTGGCTTAATAAATTACGATTAGATACTAAACTATATTGTAAAACTTGCTCCATGCTTTCATTTTCTATAGTTATTTTTCAAATATTAAAAGCGTTTATAAATCCATAGATATATTATTTTTTCGAATGGAGGGAATGTTCAAGCAATTTGAATAATCTTCTAATCTTTTCAAGGTAGAAAAAAATACGAGGAAGTGTTGCTCCTCGACGTGTTTAAAATACTATAAGTTTTTTATACGTGTCTAATTTATTTTTCATCTACATCAAATTTTTATGAGAAACGTCAAAACGTCCAGGTGGGTTTTAAAAAGTAAAGATAAATAATGAAAAAAAACAAAACAAATTTGAGACTTTATTATTGGTTTTCTTTATTAAAACAATCGGTTGTAGTTTATTTTTTAAACAAATTATTATGCTATGTTATGTAAACTTACATACTTACATAAACAGACACAGACACTTGAACATACAGACACGGATAATTTAAGGCAATTTTTCTTAGATATTTGAAAATTTAATTTAAAGATATGAAAGTAAGTTTGAGAATGCAGATGATTGTATCTGAATTGCACGAAAAGTGAAATGTAAATATTACATAACCCTTAATTTCTGCTAGACCGATGGTTAGAAAAGAAACATCCAGAATTCAATAAAAAATAATATAAATTCTTAGTAACCTATTAAAAATAATAGGTTTAGTACTTAGTAACAGAGTTATTTTTTTCACTCCTATTATATTACGTTATAAATTGATGTTTTTGAAACATTGAGGAATTTCCATAACTTAACATACGTAATTATATATTAAGAGGAAAAATCTCTAGAATATTGTTGTTACCGACTTACGAAAGGGAAACAAGAAATATTATAATTTTAACATAAAATGTAATCCCTGATCTCATTCCATCAAGTTCTTCCTGTAAAAAGAATTTGAGTGACCTGTAAGAGGTTCTTCGTACCGATAAAATCTTAATGAGCTACAAATTAAGAAAGAAAAAATGTATTTTCTCTTTATTTTCAAATATTAAGATATAAAAATAAATCTGTATATTTCTCTCATTTTTTAATAATGGTCCAGATAACAAAGTAATTGCCTGAATCTGAATTTTCAAATAAATAAGAAATTAAGTTTCTGCTTTCAATGTAAAGACGCTTATTAAAAAATATTTATTTTTGATACTAGTTCATCATACAAAACTAACAATTTTACTTAAACTTGATTAAAGCGAACATTTTCAAACAGTTCACAACGGCGTTATTCGTCTCTAAAGTTCTATGATTAATATCTCGTAACTTATTAAAAATATGTTCCAATTTACAAATAAAAAAACATTAATTATCAGTAATTATAAAATTATATGATATTATTGAGAAATAGATTATGAAATGGATGAACTATTATTTTTTAAAAGTTGTCCGTCTGAATAGATCATTGGTTGGTAAGCAAATGACAAAATATAATATTGAAATAAGAAATTACAATGTATTATGAGAGGGAGAAATTAATTTTCATTTAAAATTACTGACCGAAAAATCTGTAACAATTACAGTTGACCATATCTTTCTTAAAAACGGTCGGATTTTTTTATTTAAAAAAAAATGTTTTGTAGGGGTTAGAGAAAAATTATTATTTATCGTGTGTATAATAACTATAAAATTCATACTTTATTAGTTATGCACAGATAAAATTTTCTTTTCTTCACAACGTTTAGCCTTTTTTGAGGTGTGCTTATTTTTCGCATCTGAAGAAGTAGATAATCTTCGTAATGATGGCTCAATCATTAGATTCGATAAAGAATTACCGAAGATACGCTGTCATGAGGAAACAAATCTTTAAGAAATAATATCTTAAAAAATTAAAATAAGGCGATATCGAAAGTGTAATAAAACGTAATTTTCCTTCCACAATTTAATTTTAGTTTAACTTTTGGAAAAAAACTTTCTTGGTAGACTCTCTCATTATCAGTAAGTAAAAATGTAAATCAATCTTTTGTAAATATTGGTAATATTTTAGTAGGAAAAAATTCCTACATCATCTTTTCGTAATGAAGTTGAACAATATCAAAGGAAAGCGAGAGCGCGGAAAGTTTCCTCACTGAAATCTTATTTGGTTCCTCAAATATTTCGTTTTTGAAAAAAAAAAAAGTTTCGTTTTGGAAACTGATAAAAAGTGAGATAATTGTTTTATTAATGCTTAGAAAAGGAGGCTTAATATAATTTTAAACTTAACTGAACTAAAATTAGCTGTTTTCTTAATATGATGATTTATATACGAAATCAATTTATTAAAATGGCAGGAAAGGAAGAAAAAAAATAGGCAGCCAATTTTCAATCTCTTTGCTCAAATAGAAGGAGCTCAAGAGGTATCCAAAACCAAAAAACCATTTGGCTTCAGCAAAATTAAGGTTGAAATTTACCATCATTAGGGCCAATGTCCTGAGGTATATATTAATAAATGGTAAGCATATATACTTCAGAATCATTGAAAGATTTTAGAAGAAAATTCTTTGCATGATAGGATTAGATAGTACTAACGTATGGTGGAATGGTAAAAAGGAACCAATAAAGAACTGCTTAATCTGTGTATATACATGGTGTCTCGGTTCCTAATCCCCATACTCTGGGGGTGAACCTAAACAAGGTTTTTAACGAAAACGTTCATTTGATGCAAGGGCCTATTCCGAACAGAAATGGAGTTAAAACCAATTTTGTATTTTCCATAAGATGCTCACGTTTTTATTGAAAAAGAAGGAATTGCTCTAAAACTATTCAAGATAATTAAATTCTAAGTAAACCATCGTAAAGTAGACAACATTTTCGTTAGAAACACTAGCTAGAAGTAATCCACCAGGAAGTCTCTACCCAGCAGTGAATGGCATAGTATTAGCTGAAGAAAGCTTATGACGCCTAAAACCATGTGGACGGAGCTTCAAGATAGGCAGAGTTGGGAAAGGCAGGCTCTGGCGGCTGTACATATGAGTGGCCTCACATAAAACACGGACATCTGTCATTTTTAAAAATTTGAAGAAGGAAAAAACCTTTTTCTGTAACATGGCATCAATTTAAAACAATTATAATGATTTTAATTCATAATTCTGATTGAACTTTCTTGAAAAAAATGAATGAAACAGTTTTAATATAAAGCCACTCATATATGAATTCATGTCGGAAATCCTTGCAACTTCCAAAACAGCCTCTTATTAAATACGAAATGGATTTTAACTATCCCCTCCTCCTCTCACTTCCGATGACCTTTGATAAAGTGCAAAAGTCTGTATTTTATGTAATGAATTATGATAAATGCTACCAAAAAAAAACTTATTTAATACCGCTTATACAGAGTGCCTCGGTTCTTAATGGTCAAACACTGTATGGTGAATAGAAAATTTAAAAAAAAAACAGTGTACTTGATGCATGGATTGATTTCGAACAGAAAAGGATTTAAGACCAATGTCGTTTCTTCCTTAAGGTGGTCACGGGTTTTTAGAATAAGAAGGAATTGCTCAATAACTGTTCAAGATAATTAAATTATCAAGATTAATTAATGGTAAAGTAGACAAAAATTTCTTTGAGAAAACATTGGTTAAATTTACTAAGATCTATGGTAAAAGGGACTTTCAACCACTACTGCTGTTACGGAACCTAAACACGTGTAGCACAGAGATATGCTTAAATATGCAGCGATATGCGAGTCCTCCTGAATGTCTCTTTTATCATAGACAGTAAATTTAATCAATTTTTTCTCAAAGAAAAGTATTTCTACTTTACGATGGTATACATAGAATTTAATTATCTTGAACTGTTACTATGAAATAAGGCTCTGTTAATTGTTTCACCATATTTATTTTAATTTTTATAGCTACGTTTCGGCCGGTAAGCCATCTTCAAGCCATTTTATCCAACCATGCTTTTTTTGCATGTAGTCCAAAGTCTGATATTATTAAAACAAGCACCTATCTTGAACTGTTTTCGAGCAATTCCTTCTTAATCAATAAAAATACGTGACTAATTTAAGAAAAATATAAACTTGTTATTTGTATTGCTGTTGTAATGTATTGCTGCTTGCATTAAATGTACTTTTTTTGTTGGTAATTTGGTTGAAAATGAGCTGTATAGTGACTAGCATAAAAAGTACTATTATATCTTGGAAATTATATGATAATATCTCAATAAATTTGCTGGCTACCGGATAAATTGTGGAGATCGTAAATATGATAACATAAGAATAATAAAAAATAACTTCAAACGAATTATCCAAATTAACGAAACGAAGCGAGATATTCTACGATTTTTTTTTTGTAATTTGTTTAAAGCACATATTTTACAGATTTTTTAATTAATCTCCATTCCGATCATCAGGATATAATAACAGAAATATTCCACAATCTCGGCGATCATACTGTGAAGATAGTGATAAGGGGTGAAATGATGCCTGGTCAGCAAGGTCATGAAGCGCTGGCTCGGGTCAGTATATAAAGGGAGGATCTTCTCTCTTCTACAACTTAGTCCTACCATGGCTTTTAAGGTGAGTACACCTACATATCTCTACGCATGCGCACAAGTTTATATATAATATTATATAAATTGAATATTAAAATATAGAAATAAACATCAAATGAATATCTAGCTAGGATTCTTTGAGTTTATGATTTGTAAAACGGATAAACTGTAATTATATTACTTGACCAACTTTCCTAGTGAACTAAATACAATTATACTATAAAATATTTTAATAAAATTAATAGTTTTCATCCAAAACTTATATTAAATTTGCTATCAAAGTTTTTTTCTTATACCAACTTTTTTATACAAAATAAATGGTACTAAAATACTATGTAAATAAAATAAATAATAGGTAATAATAATATTTATAAACATTTATCCATCCATCTGATTATACTTTAATATTTCTCAACATTTCATCAAACAACAAAATCTAAAATATTTATTTTGAAAAAATAAATCTTAGATCATTTGGCAATTATAATAACATCCATTTTCTCTCCATGCGTTTAATTATTGATAATCCATTTCATTTTGGTTTCGGGACAACCCTTCTTATCTTTAGAACATTGCGTCTTGTCTTTATAGTTTATTAAATATGTCATATCTTTAATGTCAATTACTTAAAATTTTACAAATATTTGTGCATTAAATAGCGTAAAATCCTGTACTGTACATGTATACATGAACAGTACAGATACATTAATCTGGTCAAGTTAAAATGACAATGTGAGTTTAGTAGAGAATATAAGCCATTTAATTTTATAAATAGTATTATAAAATTTTATGACGACTTTAAATATACCTTACCTATAATAAGTTATGAGGGCAAGACGTAATGTTCTGAAGATGAGGATTGTTGCTCTAAAACATTAACAATAAATTTTCAATAAGAAAATATTTGAATCAGAAAATGGATACTATTTATAATTGCCAAATGACCCCAGATATTATCAACATGGCTTCCTGTACATATATTAAGGTCGTTCTACATACTATATATGTATGTAACTTTGCTACACAACCTTCAGTGTGTTATCTATTGATAACCCTATGATTCAGTGAGATGTGGTTGATATAGTGAAAAATAATTATTATATAATACTAATTATTATTATTTTATACAGATACTGTTATTATCTTTGTATATTTTCTATTGTAAATGTTTCATTTTGTTAATAGGTATTTGTCCTTTTATTTAAAAAGAATAAAATAACATTAAAACAATCTTACATACATATATATATATACAACATAAATTTTAAATTTGTTTTATTAATATTAAAACATCTATTTTTCCAATATTGAGACCGTCCTAATATTTTTAGCGGAAATATATGAACGTACCCATATAATGGATCATTAAAAAAAAAGTGCCCACCGCTGTATAGAGATAGTATAGACTTCAACAAGAAATTATTTTAAAGCTATTTAAATCTTCTATTGTTTGTACATCGAATTGTACTTTTTTTAGTTCAAATTTTTCTAGTGTAGTACGTGATTCTCTCTTCTCTGTTATTTTTATCTGTTTATTTATTTTTCAAACTATTAACATAAAAAAAAAAAAAAAAAAAAATATGAATTGGAATTCCTTTAAATTCCTTAAAGAATCTGAAAGAATATTAAATTATACTAGGAGCCTTATCTTTATCTTAATACCTCTTGGGAAAGATAACCTGTACCGGTACAACACATGAAGGGTTTTGGGTTCAGTACTATTTAGATAATGCATTGTTTCTTGGTCACGGATGTGCAAGGAGGTGATTTGACCGAGATCACGCCCAACCGCCAGGTTTCCCCCTTTAATTAATTATTTTAATTAAGTGTACCCACTTTATAGAGGCTGGGTATACCGCAGGAGCGTCTAAATACCATTGGCTGTCTCACGACCAATGAAGCAGAATAAATCATTTTTCTGCCATAAGCCGGGATTCGAACCTGGGACCTATAGCATTGGAAGCAGAACCCTAGCATGAGCTACCCCATTCCCTTAGGAAAGATAGAAGGATGAAAATAAATTTATACACAAATAAACTTTTGATGAATAATTAGAAACTTAGTGACCAATATTAGTGAAAGATTATTTTCTTACTCATAATATTTTGATAGTTTTGCTTAATACTGATTCATATAGTTAATTTTATTAATAGATATTATAAGATGATATTTCGTGTAATTATGTTTTTAAGTAATTATTCACATTGTTTAAAGTAAACAACAAGTGGTCAAAACGTTTGACAGGCCGTGCATGATATAATAAACTAAATTAAATTGTTAATTATTATATTAAAATATGGTATTAAATATTTTTTCTGAAATAAATTAATTAGCTGAAATTTATTGTTTAAAAATTATGAGTTAAAATCCATTCAGTTTTATCATCATTTTTTTAATTCAGTTTTATTTCATTTTTATAATGTTATATTTGAGTATCTGTTGATATTATATTTATATAATTAATGAAAACAATTCTTTTTTTTATATTCTAATAATTATTTTAAAATATATAAATAAAATATTTTAATTCAAACAACAAGGGAAATGTATTAATTTTAAAGATATAAAAAAACAAAACGCATTGATATCGTTATAATTTTTTTCCATATTTGTTGTTAATGTAATTGTCTTGAAAAAAATATATAGATTTTAGATTCAGATTACACAAAGATTTTTTCCTCTGTATAAAAATATTTAATTATAGGAAAATAAACCAAAGGGGTGAAAATGAATAGTTAATGTTTAATGATTCTACCATTCAGATATCCATTATTATACTCGTAAGTTAGCTAAAATATTCGACATTTGTAGAAATAAATGTACTTCATATTTTTAGTAAAATTACCTTTTGGACATTTTCTATTATTTTTATTTTTTATTCAAACCAATCGATAAGGACGGCACTAATAATAGCTTAATCCTCAGGTTGCTGCCCTTCTCGCTGTCATCGCCGCCGCACAGGCCCAGGTCATCAGGCCTGCCGTTGCACCTGCACCACTGGCGTACGCAAATGCACCATACGCTTACGGTGCTGCTCCATATGCCTATGGTGCCTCACCGTACGGCTATGCTGCCACCGCACCATTAGCTGTAGCTCGTGCACCATTGGCTGTAGCTCGTGCACCATTGGCTGTTGCTCGCACACCGTTGGCTGTCGCACGCACACCCTACGCCGCTGCTGCCGATCCCTACTACGACCCAAACCCAAGCTACGACTACAGCTACTCCGTAAACGACCCCGTCACCGGCGACTCCAAGACCCAGTCCGAATCCAGGCAAGGTGATGTCGTCCAGGGCAGCTATTCCCTCTTGGAAGCTGATGGAACTAGGAGAGTGGTCGATTACACCGCTGACCCAGTGAATGGATTCAACGCCGCAGTCCGCAAGGAGGGTGCTGTTGCTCCATCAGCTGTTCCAGTTGCTGCCCCAGTCCCAGTTGCTGCTCCAGCTCCAGTCGCCATTGCCGCTCGTGCTTACTCTCCTTTTGCTGCTAGGTCGTACGCTGCCCCAGCAGTCGTTGGTAGCTCTTTCACTTCACCGTATTCTTCATATGCCTACTAAATTATTAAATGATTTCTTATAAATAAAATTCTCAAAAAGTATATATTATAAAGTATATATTTCTCTTATTTCCTTCACGCCTCTTCATTACAATAACAGGTACCTTCATTTGAATTACTGTTAATATTTTGTTTCTGAAAAGTGATGATGCCAGTATTATGAAACTTAATCCATATATTTTTATGAATAGATAGTTCAACATAGGTCTATTTATTTTTCGAATACCGATTGACATACATTATGCAAGTAGGCAAGTCCGTTTAGTTGTTATTTGCATGTTTGAATTACTAATAAACCACATCTGATGAATATATGAAGCTGGTGCGTTTTATTTTTTTATCTTCAATATTATTTTTAAGTCGGACTATTTTGATCAACTGTTTGATTTGACAGAATTGAAGATTAAATTGTAATACTTGTACACTTTAATCTTGATGTTCGTAGTTTTGAAAATATTGCAGTGATACATAGAATAGCCAATAAATGTTCCATGATAATTGAGATTTGATGTGTTTTAGTATCCTTTATTATTATTTTTATATTAAACATAGATTTTATGTTCATTAGAAACAGAAAAGAGTAAATTTATTTATAGCTATTTAGTAAATGAAACTAAAACTTAATATTCATAATCAACAAGCAATCACAATTTTTGAAATATTATTTCAATCATAATTTCATCACAATTTCTATTGTGAAATCAAGGCCGTTATACTCGACCTTCGCTCGTAACCAAAGTGCTTTGATTATGATTCGTAACATTTTTGATTAGAAAGTTAGAAGTTTTTGAAAGTTGTGCCTTTTGAATATACAGCGTAACTATGAGTATGTGCTGTTATATCGTATTAGTTTGAGAAAGTATTTGAATCTAATCAGATTTTGTTTCAGTTTCAGTTTTGATGTATTGTGGAAAAGTGGTTAAAGCAATTTGAAGCATTTGTTAAGATATTTCAGAATGAAATGGGAGACTCATCCCTTTGCTCGACTATTTGCCCGACGTCATCCCTATGTCGAAGGTAATTCGAAAATATAGTCGTCTGAGGAATTAAGTTGTCAATATAAACTGAAGGGAAAATATTTCTTCGATCAAAAAATATGTCTTAAGTATAGAAAAGAAAGAGCATATTCTGAAATTTGTCAAACAACTTTTTCAATTTTAATCTGAAATAAACCTAGCAGTAATGCGAACTATTATTAATTAACAGAAAAATTCAACTATTGATTTATTACGAAACTATTCTACAACAGAGATCAATGAATTACAAATACGCGCATATCAAATTTCAACGAGCAAAATGTTAAATTTCAATAAGTGACGAAATTCCTAACTCGTCACAAATAACACAATTAATAAAAATACTTCAACACAATCTAGAAGGACATCTTAAAATTCCCTGTTCAATCTTCAAACTGAAGGAACATTCTATCTAACTACAGCTGGATATACGAAAGAATGTGGGATCGTTTAAAATAATACTAATAGTACTAAAATAATAAATAAAAAAACGACTGCCAAATAAGGTCAGTATAGCTTCCTCACCGTTTTCATTGGCTATAGTATATCTATATTACAAGGTATACAACTTTTCGTGAGAATAAAATCCGTGGGAGAAGCCGATTCGGAAATACAGTTACCCTTCAACATTTTCAGGTTTGATATCCACGAATTTCGTTTATCAGCTAATATTAAAATGCGAAAGAGTGCCGTATTTGAAGATTCCATATTTGATGATTCTTAATAAAAAAAAATACCAATTCATACTGAACATGCATATCACTACTATTAGTGCAAAAGGTCGTATGTAAAAATTGAATTTTTTACATGAGAGTATAAAAGCTAATTATTTATTTATGCTTTGTTACTATAGTTGTATATTTTATTGTCCTGTGCTATTTTCCATAGTAGCAGACTACTTATATCAGTTGTAAACTACAAAATGCCATCTTTAGCACAAATAGAATAAAATTTGAAAAGTTTACATATGACCTTTTGCACAAATGGTAGTGATACTTAATAGGTATTCATAAAATGGATGGAACTGGAAAATCCATAAGAAAAATTCAACTTGTTTGTTCGGAGTTAACAAGACCAATACTCTTCTTCAGTGAGAACAAAACTAATTAACATGGAATACAAAAATATGAGTGAAGTTCACACAACTTCGATATTAAAAGAGGAAATTGAGACCAAGATGAACTTGTTAAACTTGAATGGAAATAAACACAATCACAAATAAGACTTTTCTTTTTACAAATTCAAAGTAAAAATCACTTTAGATTTATTTAAAATTACACGAAATCAATCTAACGGCAATAAGTGTCATGCCAGTAACATTTGGAATCGACCAAACAATACAGTGTAAATTAATTTTTTTAATAAAACCTAAAATTTTATTAACTTATAGCAATATTGTAATAACCTAATTCCCACTCTATATGATCAGGGCCTTCCACATTTCACTGCCATTATATTGTTAACAATTATTTATATTAATTTTAATTATTAAATTGAATTCAATTAATTTGACACTATATAATTTCTATACTGTACTTGAAGTTTGGGTCAAATATTCAAACTATAGAATTTGATAATATTGATGCCTATTGCATTTTACGATTACCAATCCCTAAATTCCCTCCAAATTTGAGCCAAATCGAACTTGCGGTTTGAGAGATATAGACGTATCAAAGAAAACACGTTTGCGCATATCTAAGAGAAAACAATGGACAGAATGCAATAAAATTAACACTTCACTATTTTTTTTACAAAGACCTAAATTTTTTCTCACTATGAACCAAATCCAACGAGCCGCTCCTGAAATTTTAACGTATCTTCAAAAATGCGTTTGCGCATTTGTAAGCGAAAGTGCTGGTTAGAATTTAATACAATTGATATGAGACCATCTAGACACTAACCTGTACAAATCTTGAAAATATCAATGGAATAAACGGAAAATAAAATGGGATAAACGGTAGTAGGTGATATCCCTGTTACATCGATTTGACTTCAGACCATCCAAATTTGATCCTTGATGTCTGAAAGGTAAAACGCAATTGGAAATTTTCGATTCTGAGCACACATTTTTTTTTAACATATAGCACGAACACAATGCTTCCCTACCTTAGGTAGTGAGGAAGAAATAGTAAATAATAATAGTATAGTGTATATAATAAATAATAATATTAATAGTAGAAGGAAAACATAAAATTCAATATAAACTCTCAGGGCCTCAGTCTGATGTAAGGAAATAAAAAGAAAGCAAATACCATTAAATAAATAAATGATGTTTTTTTTAGGCATAAAGATGATTTTTATAATAAAGAATATAGCTATTAAAAACGAAAACATAATTATAAAATCCATAATTAATTGTTGAAAGCACTTTTTATGTAATATAGGGTAAAACTTATCAGTTAAGATTTGTTTAAAAAATGTACAAATATTGTAGTTACATACATTTTTAAATTTAGCCTTATATCTCTACCAAATGGGAAGCTGCATGATTTAAGTTCGATTCATTGCTGATTGTCTGATTCTTAGGACGAGCATAGATAAGTTCTAGTTCAAATGCCAGACTATCGTGAATGCTACAAGTCTCCTTAGAATATCAAAAAGCTCCTTAATGTCTACCTTAATGGCTGACTATTTCAACTGGTAAGAAAGAATCATAAAAGAACTGGTGCTAAATACCTTCACCGGCTCTATCGTCGGTATTGAAAAAAGTCATTGGATGATTTTTTGGACCAATAATTTTTATGAAGCTCCCCTTTTATTAAAATCAGAGAATTCTGCGCTTATTGATATGCAAAAGGGTTTGTGTCATGTTAGTACACTTACTGTATTTTTTTATAGGATAAGTTATTATATATAAAGGAATATCTTATTACAAAATCACCAGCGGTGATCTGCGATCTTGATCTAATTCAGTCAAGAAAGATGCTCAAATTCGGACAAGATAAAAATCCTACCTACACATAAATAAACTTCTACCAAATATAATTTTTACCTTTCCGTTATTCAAAACTGTGAAAAAATATAGACACATGAATTTGATGAAACAAATTCAACAGAAATTCAAAGGAATGTTTGAACCAAAATTGTTTTTAGTTCAATAACATATAATTTGTTTTATCTTCATTTATCACATCTAGTATTATTATTCACAGCTATTATTAGGGCATTAGTCTATTTATGCCCTGTGTTCGTCTAAATAATATAGGTAATAGATATTTATAATTTATTCAGTATACAACTTTATAGAATATATTTTCATTTTTAAACCTTATCATATATAAAACATATTTTACTTATTTATAAAACAATTATTAATAGTCTTATTGTCTGTTCATACTAACATGGCTTTAGTCTATACTAATTCATCAGGCCCAAAATGCTGCATAACGTTCGTTTTTTTTTTTTTATTAAATACTACACTTAAGGCCGAATTGCCCCCGTTTTCTAAGACACAAATTTTTACTGAAGCCACAATTGTTTTCCATTATAAATTAATTGTTTACAAAAGTTTATAAAGGCATCTAGATTATAAAAATACTTAATCCGTGGTGGAGGTCGATCAAGCTTTTTTTGATATATCAGACAAACCTTTTTATTGCTATTTCATAATAACAACGAAATGGATTGAACAGGTCATTTGTGTTTTATTTTTCCCTATATAACACGTAAATATCTACAAAATTTCAATTTGTTATCATTGAAAATTAAGTCATACAAAAAAAAAAAAAAACTTTACGCATGAATTAAAGAATTTTCCATAAGGTACAATAGATCATGTTTAGTCCTCTTTCTAGGAGCCTAAACATATATTTTCGGAAAAATTAAAGCAAGAGTATATTCTGCAAGGAATGGTATTTTGGGTATTTTTCTGCCTTTTTCCCCCTTTACGAGAAAGAGGTGAATCCGCAATGAATCCGAGAAAAAATGTAAGGAAGTAAGTAGTAGATGAGTAGTCGTCCAAAGCTTAGATGGGAGGATTCAGAGG